TATGACGAAAATAATAAAAAAAAAATTTGGAAAAAAAAAAGATATTATTTGATATCTGTTTATAATTATCAGGGGGAAATGTACTGATCAGCAATGTGTACCTTTCATTACTTGTGCTGGAACTGAGAAAAGTACTAAAGAAACAATGGTCACTTTTAAGAATAGATGGATATTAGAAAATATTTAATGATTGTAAAGAAGGGGGGGAGTAGACAACCACAACCAACAATGTAACATGTAGTCCCTAACAATCCCCACTGAAATTCAGCAGCAAAAACAGTGCTTAATTAAATTAAGTGGGGTCTCTAGCTGCAAAATATTCCTTTCTCCAGCCCCAATTGTTGAGTTAGTCTTCTATATCAGGGCTTTTCAACCTTTTCACCCATTGTACCACTTTTAGGATATAGCAACATCTGAGTACCACCAGTCGCCTAGCAAGGTGTCAAAAACTTGATGACCCAAAAAAAAAAAAAGGAAAAAAGTGATAAAGTACAGGTAATCCTCAACTTACAACAGTTCGCTTAGTGACTGTTCGAAGTTACAATGGCACTGAAAAAAGTGCCCCCCAAGCCACAGCCGAGCAAGACACCTGCCTGCCCGCCCTCTTCCTCCTGTCCGAGGTTTTCATTGTTGTGAGCATTTCTGTTGAGGATTGGCAGCAGGGGTTGGGTGGGGGGGTGTTTGGTTTTTATTCCCCCCCGTCTGCTGGGTGGTTGCAGCAGGTTTTAGTCACTTCACATGATCCTGGGACACTGTGACCGTCATAAATATGAATCAGTTGCCAAGCATCTGAATGTAAATCACAAGGCCCTGGAGAGGCTGCAACATTCCAGCTGATCGGCGCTTCTTCTGGGCTCAGCAGAAGCGCCAGGATCTGTGCCGAGCTCCAGTTGGAGCCTGGTGCTGATCCTGGCGCTTCCACTGAGCCCTGACAGCCCTGTGTCAAGCTCCGCGGGGCTTGCCATCCGCTGGGGGGGGGAAGCAGCAGCCGAACGCCGCCGCAGCCGCCCAACCGCCACACGCTGCCACCCAGCTCTCCTCCGGGGGGGGAACGCAGCAGCCGAACGCCGCCGCAGCCGCTCAACCGCCACACGCTGCCACCCAGCTCTCCTCCGGCGCCGACCCGGCCGACAGGTACG